ACCTAGTGTCCATAGGAGGCCCACTTCGGCTCTCTGAGAATGGAAGCACTGGCTATGACTAGGGGGTTGATGCTGTCACCTCTGGAAACTCCAGCTCTTTAGAGATGTCTTGGAGAAAGCCATGATGGCTTTCCGTAGTTGGGCTATTCTGACGGTATAAAAGCCTCTGATGGTGACTTTTAGTGAGAATAAGTTCTGTTAAGCTGCAAGGTGTAGTAGAAAACCATGGACTTTTATACCTCCTAAAAAATTACACTGTAACTTTTTTAACATGTCTGTCTTCCCCAGGAGACTGAATTGTTTTTTTTTTTAATTTTTAGAAAAATTTTAATTGACGCATAATAAAATTGTACATATTTGTGGGGTACAACATGATGTTTAGATACATGCATACATTATAAGCAAATCAGGGTAATTAGCAGATCTGTCACCTCAAACATCATTTCTTTGAGGTGACGAGATTCAAAATTCTCTCTTCCAGCTATTTTGAAATACATAATACATTATTGTTAACTATAGTGGCTCTACTGTGCAATAGAATACAAGAACTAAATGGTCTTATTTTTATTTTTTGTTTTATTTTATCTTATTTTATTTTTGACAGAGTCTTGCTCTGTTACCCTGGGTAGAGTGCAGTAGCATAGTCATAGGTCATTGCAACCTCAAACTCCTGAGCTTAAGTGATCTTCCTGCCTCAGCCTCCTGAGTAGCTGGGACTATAGGTGTACACCATGACACCTGGCTAATTTTTCTATTTTTTAATAGAGATGGGATCTCATTCTTGCCCAAGCTGGTCTTAGACTCCTGAGCTCAAGCGATCCTCCTGCCTCAGCCTTCCAGAATACTAGGAAGGCATGAGCCACCACGCCTGGCCCCTAATGGTCTTATTAAGTGCTATATTATTTCAAGAGTTAGGACAGCATTTGAACATTCAATAAATATTTTTTGAATTAACAAATACATGCACACATGAATGAATAAATAAATGGCAAAGTCCTCTATGAAAATCTACTGGATTCACAAGTATTATAAATCCTGAGAACAACTTAAGGTCTGATCATCTGCACTGCTCTGGCAGATGAACCACTTGACTTTCACAGCACGCTCTCACTCTGTGGCCTTTCCTTCAACAGGACATGTCCTCAGAATTCTTTACTTCACATACACAACAGCTGGCCCAGGTGTCACGTGCAGGAGGTTCCGGCCAGCTGCCAGGAGCCCCGCAATCCTGACAAGGAACAGCCCCTGGTTTCGCTGCTATGAAGGGCACATGCATCACAGACTTTTCTATTTTCTATAACATGTAGTGACATAGAGTCATCAGAGCAGGCCTTTTCTTGGGCTGTTGTTTATGTCAAATTTACTTTGTCCAAGAAGTCTCACTGAAGGCTTCATGGTGCATTTCATACTCCAGGCAGTTCTGTGATGCTCAGCTCTGAAAAGCCTGGTACTGGGACTCACAGTCCTTCATCTAAATTTCTGAATTCAGGGGACCTGAAAAACAGTTGGCCCAGTTTCTCCAAGAAGCCTGGCCTCATGAAAAGCAAGGCAGTGGAGGGGGGATCTTCGGCTACGTCTGGCCCTACAAGCTGAAGGGGACACAGGTTCAGGGGTCTCCACTGTTTTTGTCCAAGCAAGTATCTCCGGATACACATCTCAGTTAGCAATATGGCTCACATCCAGCGCTTTTCTAGGCCCAAAGAGGCCATTTCAAGTGCTGCTGCATCTGCTCAGGTACTTCCTGACAGCGGGCTTGACACCAACTATTGTCTGACTTCCCTTAAACAGATTCTCTCACTGCTCCTCATGGAGCCTACATTGCACGAGGAGGAAGCAGGTGGGCAATGACCAGGTTTCCACAGTGATCTCCCGGGAAGACATCCCTGGCCAGGTCACTGCACAGCTACAGAATCGCAGAGGAAACTCCAGAGCCCAAACCCCCGTGGAGGTACACACACTGACTCCTGGTGTGCACAGAGGGCAGGTGAGTACTGACCGAGGCGAAGGGGTTGGAACGAGCAAGGGGACAGAGAGCATCCTGAGTGAGGGCCTAGGGATGAGAAAGATCCAGGCAGGGGGACCAAAGGGGGAGCCCCGACCAAGCAGAGGCAGAACATCAGGACAAAATGGGCTGAGGTGATGGATTGGCAGGGTGGAGGCAGATCCTCAGGAGGGCTGAGAAGAAGGCTGGAATTTGGCACCCACACCTGCATGTTTTACAGGTATCTGTCATCACTGTCCCCCAAATCTGCTCTCACCCCTGGATCCCTAGTTCTGGCTGGCGGCACCCTCGTCGGTTCAATGCTCACGCTAGAGCCTTCTCAGACTCTTTCTCATGCCTGACAGCTAATCAATCATTGAATCTTGATGATTTTGCCTCCTAAATCTGTCTTAAATTCATCCCTACTGCCTCTCCTCTGGTTCTGAACTCATTATGTCTTGCTTAGACTATGGCAATAATTTCCTAATTGGTCTCCCTGCTTCCATCCAAAGTCAATAAAGATTTGTAGGATGAAAAATGCATGAATACTGAGCCTTAAGGTGTCTTGGCAGCTCCCTTGTGAGCAAGCCTGGCTAGCAGCTTTTCCAGCATCTATGAAAACACACAGAAACTTGTTTCCTGAACCAAAGGTGCCCAACAAGAGTCAGGGATTACAACCCAGCTTCTGTTCTAGAAGCCATCTAACCTGCATTTCCCTTGGACTTTGGAGAGAGCCTGGGGCCCAGATGTGGAAGCAGACCCCAGCCCCAGATTTGCATTTGGGTCTCACTCCTTTGCTTTTTCTCTTTTCTCCTAAGCTCCCCCAACCCCCGCCCCAGTGCAGTTCAAGAGTCAGACATCTAACATGGAGGCAGGACTGACCCTGACCCTGGCCGTTGGCGTTACTGGGACAGGGTTCCCATGAGTGTGGTGGGCGGTGCTATGGGACAGGCCACCAGAGAGAAACACAGACTTCTCTTCAAAGGGTGGCTCCCAGCACCAGATAAGGCCGCATGGTGAGGGGAAACTGCCTTCCTGGCTGAGTTAACCTGCCCTTCTGCAAGGCGAGGTTGGCAGCCCAGATGGAATGAACTGTGTTAACACACCAATGCAATTTTGCTCTAAGGTCTCTTCCCTCAGAAAATCCTTCTCACACTTCATAGCTCCCCATCCCTCCCCTGCAACATTCAAAATCAAATCACAAGCGCGTGCCCTTGGGCCCATCTGATCTTTAGCAAGCTGATTCCATCATCTCCTTCTAACCTGGAGGAGTTTAGGAAATGACTCTAACTCACAGAGGCGTGGGGTCGAGTTGACTTATAATTCAGGTGAGGGGGAGCAAAATGGGATATTCATTCAAAGTAAGATGTCATCTTAGATGGCTTCTCTGCATGCACAGTGGAAGAGAGGACTGGAAGCAGTTTTGTGAATATTGCAAGTCCCTTATATCCATTCTTGCAAGAGCTGTTTGGAATATTGAAGTTGTGGTGTTTTTCCCATTCTACTGCATCATTTCAGAGAGGTCTGTGTTCTCACAGGCCTTCCCTGCCAGCCAGGTGATGAGATTAAAGGAACATGGTGATACCCAAGCAGGGTTTATTTCACCTTCAGTTCCAAAAATTTTCACTTAGTTCTTTGGGCAAGAGCAGTGTGTGTGGAGAGGTGTGTGTGTGTCTGCATGTGTATACGTGTTTGTGTCCATGTGTGTGAATGTTGAGGGAGGAGAACTGCCCCAAAGATAAAAGTGGAGGCGTCCCCCGGGACATGGCAGACTAGACTGTAAATTCAGGCACCTCCCTTTCCTAAGCTCCCCACAGCATGGCTGGAGAGCTAAATGTGAGATCCTGAATGTTCTTGGCGAGAACAAGAAAGAAACGAATTATACGCAGGGTGGGGATGAAGGAGGCCCATCAACACGTCAGCAGTCTGGTTTACCAAGCACACAGGACCGTTCCCACCTTATTGGATGCTCATCCTCTCATTCCACAGGCTCGCTGGAGAGATGTGCATTCCAGCCCCAGAGGCCTGGCTAACCTCTGTGGATGCTGAGCGAAAGAGCCCATCACTCAGACAAACCTACTTCCAATCCTGGCTCTGTCACTGTCTATCTGGGTGACCTTGAACAAGTCATTCTCACTGTCTGGGCTTCAAACTTTCCATCTCTGAAATTGGATGAGTAACACCTTCCTCACAGTGAAGATGGGAGAAGTGAATAAAGTAATTCATGTAGAGTCTGGCAGGGGCCACGCAGCAGGTCTCAGTAAAGCTCAGTCCCCCTGTACCCACCTTTCATAGCACCCCTCCATCAGCCTTGCTTCCCACTCCTGGCCTGCCTCCTCTCCTGTGACACCATTGCACAGCCCGCTGATGACAAGCCCTCTCTCCCTCACACATAAATATCTTCGTTTGCCCACCTCTAGTCCTGCCCAGTCTCTCCTCTGCTGGGGGGGCCAGGCCCTGAGCAGTGGCACAGGGCCCCATGCTTAGCTGTGGCACTTGGTTTAATGCCTTGCTGTTGCTGTATTAAAACTCTTGATAATCTTTGAACAAGCACCCCACATTTTGAACAAGGGCCCCACGTTTTTATTTGTACTGGGCCCTGCAAATTATGTAGCTGGCCTCGTGGGGAGGAGACCAGCCTCTTCCCCAGGGACAGACATCACTCTGCCTATTGGCCCTGGTCAGGTGGCTTTCTATGAACCAGCAGGGCTCTGTCCCAGCTGCTCTTAAACTCATTGTGCCATTTCATCCCCATTTTTCCAATGAAGGACAGAATCACTGCCACATCACTTGCCCAAAGCCATTCAACTGGTCAGGAGTCTGAACCAGGGATGTCTAATGCCAAAAGCTGAACCTTCCAACCATTCCTCCATGATTAAACTTAAAATCCATCCAGGAGTTACATACACCAATGTAGGTGGGGAAGGCTGATTCTTTCCTAGTATAATAAGGTGTGTTTTATTTGTATATATCATTTAAAAGCAATTAATTTAAGAAATTCCTACAGGGAAAAACCTACCACATAACTTCTGAAGGGATTTCTCAGAGTAGGTCTCCCGGTCACAGCCCTTCCCAATGTAGTTGGTCTGCAGCTCCGCGGTGATCTGGAGGGAGGACACGGCGCCATCGCACGTCTCCAGGTGGATGCTGGGGAACAAGGGCATGCTCCCCGAGCCGGGCTGATACTCGATCCTTTTGGCCCAGTCTGAATAAACAAGGAGATGATTAAAAGTAAAGCAGGTTCAGTCAGTTCTGCTAGGACACGTGTTTTGAAAATGTGAATTTGGTCCAACAGATTATTTGTCCCAACAAATGCATTAGCGAACAGTTTGAGAATAATGGGAAGTTTATGTTTGTTTATGCAAGATCTCCTCCCTGAGAGATACTAGGCAAATACAGAAAATTGCATCCAGCCAAACTGAGCCATATAGGAACATAAAAACATGCATACGTACGCACACATACACACACACACACACACACACACACACACACACCTCAGACACCTGCCAGCTACTCAGTTCACCTTGTGCCATGAGCCATGACCATCCACATCTGTAGTTACAGCTTCCCATGCCTGTCAGAGATGACCTTCCGCGCTTCGCAGTAACGTGCCTGCGGCAACCCTTCTTATATCCACTTCCACAAGCAAAGCCTCTTCAAGGCAAAGTGCCACATTGATTTAGTATTGTGTAGCACTGTGTTCATGTTGCCTCCCTCTGCCCTTTTGGTGCCCACTGATGATGTTTTTGAGTGTTGTGCCTCTCACCCCACGTCTCCATCTTGCCTCATATGCTGATTTTTAGAAACTGTCTTGTTACAAAACAAGAGACAGCGCAATTGCTCGAGGGTTACATGAGGTTACAAGGAGGGGTGCGGGGATTCTCAAACACTCAGAACTGTGACCCACTGACATAGGGCTGATGGTCATGTCACTGCTCTTTACTGGAAAAATAACTTGGAGATGATAAAGTGTTGGAGAGGAATGAAACCACAATTAATACAGCACTACGTGAGAACAGAGCAATCACAAACACAACCAGTGTGAGTGAGCGCACACAGGAACTGATCGACACAACAACAGTGTGACCAGAAGTCAGAGCTCATTCAAGGCAAGCTCTGGTGACTGATAACCCGCACTTGCTGGCCACAGCGGGCACCCACGCTCTGTGAGGACACGTGTCTGAGAGGGCCGTGCAGCCGTCCTCGGCCAGACTTGCAAGTAGAAGCATGAATCTGAGTCACCAGTGTGAGTTATGGATACTATTCGTTTACAGATCTCACATGTTTGTCACAGAATGTTATTAGATGCTGTCCTTTTCCCGAAGTAGAAATGAAACGCTGTGGAATCGCCTGCCCTCCCCCATGAGACGCTCAGAAGGTCCTCACGTGTGGGACTTGGTGTTAGGCTGCAGCCACCAGAAGGCTCCTCACCAGCTCCTGGTGGGCCACCGGCACCACCATGGTGGTACCAGTACCACGGAAAAGGCTGGGCTTAGGGCAGCCAGACAGCTTGTTCACTGAGCAACCATTTGCTGAGGGTTTGTCTCCACGTGCCGGGCTCCACCGGGAGTACCACAGACACGGCAGTGAACGTGTCAGGAGCCGCGGGAGAGAGGTAGATGATGAATAAGCTCGCGCTGTGTCATCAGAGAGGCGTGACAGTTCTACGAAAGGTGAAGCTGGTGATGGAGAGGCCTTCAGATCGAGCATTTGCCTCTGAGGGCTGAGTGCCGAGGACATATGCGCTGGCGGAAGCCTCAGGGAAGCACATTTGGAGCACATGCAGCAAAGAGCCTGGCTTGACTCTGTGAGGTCAGATCGTCCTTGGGCAGGTTACTATGGAAGGTGTCTAAGCCTCTGGCACCTCATCGGTAAATGGGGACCATCACAATGACCTTACAGTGTTGGAGTAAGGATGAAGTGTGACAATGTGTACATGGCATGCAGCGGTGGCCCTGATCAATGCACTTCCCCAGTGAGGAAGGGGCTATGGGCCCTGCACCGCAACCCTGCCATGTTCCAGACAACTGTGCACTCTGAGTTTAGCTCTGAGCCCCCACAGTAACCAGCTGCCACGTACAGGGTTTTCTCTGAGCATGGCATGAGCAGAGGCTGCACATAATGGTTGTGAGGTCCAACTCCAGTGAACTTACAGTGGGAGGATATTTGGATGAGAGTGACAATGCATGAAGAACAGTATACACAATTACATGTTTTTGCTCATAGCAGGCAGGACCTGTGTGGGCTGGCCCAGAACCCCCGGAGGATGAGATCATGGAGCTGCTGCAGCCCATGTTCCAGAGGCCCCAAGTTCAATCCTAAGGACAAACCACTGGGACAAAGGAGGGCGTTTTGTCAGGTGTTTCTGAAAGTCACAGTACTGTAAGAAGCCATCTACACATGGCCGGCTATGTAGTGTCCTAGGTACAAAATGTTTGATGCCACTGTGCATTTGATCATGCTGATTCTTCTACATGGAGTTCCCTTTCTATCACCTTGCCTCTTGCTACCTCCCTTGTGCAGTCTTTCAGGATTTCTCCAGTCTGGTTAGATGCCCCCCTTTGTACTCCCACACTATCCACAACATTCGACTGCTGCATTCAATTCCATGCTTCAAGGCCACTCTGAGTCCCCATCACACTGCACGGTGCCTGGCACTGAGCAGATGAACACTAGATAGTGGTAGAGACTGTGAATGAATCCCCTGTGATATCTTATTGAAATCATTCATTTGTACGCCTGCCTCCCTTAGTAACTGTGAACTCCTTAAAAGCAGGGATCGTGATGTTTGTGTGTTTTTTTTTTGTTTTATTTCAGAATATTACAGGGGTACAAATGTTTTGGCTACATGGATTGCTTTTGTACTGCTTGAGTCAAAGTTACAGGTGTGCCCATCACCCAGATAGTGTACATTGTACCCGTTAGGTATGATTTCAACCATCTCCTCCCTGCTCCCACCTGCATGACTTCCGTTGAGTTTTACTTCCAACTGTGCACATGAGTGCTGATTGGTTAGTTCCAATTTAATAGTGAGTATATGTGGTGTTTGTAAAAGACACTTGCACTTGAATGTTTATAGCGGCACAACTCACAATTGCAAAGATGTGGAATCAACCCGAGTGCCCATCAGTTCGTGAGTGGATTAATAAAATGTGGTATATGTACACCATGGGGTACTACTCAGCCATGGAAAAAGTGATGTTTGTGTTTAAAACCTCCACACCTAGATCAGAGCACAGGAAACATTTCCCAGGTGGATGTGGGGAGCCCCAGACACCTAACCTTGACTGCCACTGTGGCAGCTCTTCTTGAGCTGCCTGGTTGCAGCTTCTCTGGCACTGATCCCATCTGACCCACCCTGCCATCCAGCAGAACCATTTATCCCACCAGCAGCAGCACATAACACGTTTGGTTCTCTTTGTCCTTGGCAAGGCAATTGGTCTAAAACTGATGATGGAGGAATCTACTTTCCAATAACAAGAAATGACACAATGGAGGCGGCCAGTTTTCTTTTTTTTCACCTCTCTCATCTCTCCCTGAACTCTTTCTTTTTATTAAATTTATTTTTATATATTTTTATTTTTCTTCATAAGAACTCTCAACAAAGACTCTCCCTTTCTTTATAAATGTAAATTAAAAATGGAAAGAAATGGTTTTGTGACGAGGGCCTTGGTGTGAGCCCCGCAGCACCAGTCTGGAGATCCCCCAACTCCTGCAGTGTGTGAGAGCTCCCCACAATGCCTCCTCTGCTCACGGTCTCATGAAGCTTCTTAAGCTTCTTCCCTGGAGAAACCCAAGACACCCTTGGTGTTAATTCCCTTTATTCTGTGGGTGGCTGCAGGCATCTCTCTTGCATCTAGACATTTTGGTGGTTATCTACGATGAGAAGTTCCACCTCAATTCTTTTGTAGAAGGAGTGCGAATAAACAAGCCAATACATCATGAAGGGAAAAGCCAGGGGAGGCACAGTCCTAGTGGAGTTTTCCTCCTCTCGCCCACCCCTGGCTGGAAGGGCAGGGCCCTCTCCGGCTGCTGGGGAGAAATCGGGTACAAAAGGGCATCAGGAACATCTCAATTGCCAGTTGCTTTGGTAACCTCATGAGGCTTGTTTTCAAGGGTTTATAAGGAGCAGGTAAAATTGCAACCATATAGCAATAGAAATTGATGAAGCTTTCTAAGTACAGTGTCCTTGAGAGAGTGAGCAGTGACAAGCTCACACAAATATGTCCATCTTCCAAGGAGTTAGGGGTGGGGATTAGGAAAGCAAAAGGCAAGTCATCAAGTTCAGCCTTTGCCACATGAAATGTCTATTCATCATCCTTTCCTGGAGCGTAGGATAGCATGGTGGTTAAAAGCAAGAATTTTAAATTTGGCCTTCCTGAGTTTAAATCCCAGCCTTACCACTTACTGTGTAACTTTGGGCAGATCACTTCCCCTCCCCAGTCCTCAGTTCCCTCTTCTGTAAAGTTTACGTTTACCACCCAGAATTTTGGAGGGATTAAATGTAGAGTCATTTCAGCACCAAACACAAAGGATATGTTCAATAGGTATATTATTGTTAAATTGTCATTTATTCAATAACACTTATTGCAGAAAATAACAGTGATCAGGCACTTACAAGGTGCCAAGGACTTTTATATTTATCCTTTTGTTTAATTCTCCCAGGGACCCAGCGAGGGGTTGTTATCATCTTAATCGTGCTAATGACGAAGTCATGGCTGAGAGGTAGTATGACTTGCCCGAGGCCACACAGCTCTTTTATGAAAGCTCTTCCTCTATTCTGAGGATTTTCCAGAACAGAGAACAACTGTAATTATAACATATGCATTTTTGAACATTGAATTTACACTGACACTTAAAAAAAAAAGCGATAATCCCAATGCTGACAAAGGATCAGGAGTGTGCTCCGTCTTAGCACTGCCGACCACGCGGGCAGTTTGCGGGAGCGGGAGGTTTACTTCGACACTGAAGGCTCCCAAATGTAAGTCACGTGAACCCTGCAAAGCTGTTGTCACCTTACAGCCTCCGTTGCCTCATCTGCATGTATTTGAGATAATTATACCTCCTCCTGGGCTTGTCCTGAGCAGGAGATCCTGCAGGCAAAGGGCCCGACGCAGAGACTTTCCCACGCAGCCTCATTGTGGGAACGTTCCCACCCTTGATTTATAAGCTTGCCCAACTTCACTGAGCTGTCCTGCTTGG